ATTATAAAATTTTGGCTAAAATTAATTACAACTGTAAAAAGTTTTATTAGTAGCATATTTTCAATTTCTATATAAATCCTATTGTACTACCAAAATCATATGAAAAATGATCTACGTTCCCCCTACCCTTAAATTAGAATTGATCTTATATATTCTAAAATCTATAAGTTCAATTATTGTCTTTTTTATTTTAAAAAACAAAATTATAACTTACTATCTTTAATGCTTTAACTATATCATTACAAACATGATTGCGGTAGCGATCAACAAAGATTATACCTTTACTTTTAAAGAACCCATTCAGTCTGGCCCAAATAACTCATGGAATATAAGTGGAGATCATCAAATCTCTTATCATATTTGCACAAGGTGCCATGGTCACCACAATATCTCGTGGAAACTTGCTCTTTGGTTTTTTTTTTAATTTGAAAATTACAGCAGGCAGAAGTTTTTCTTCAGATGCAGTATAACCCAGAACTACTGTAAAATGTAATTTTTCATTCTCTGTAGTTTTAATTGGAACTTCACGAATGCCTTCAAAATCGATTGTTGTATTTCGAGGCATGTCAAACCACATTAGTGTCTTATCAAAAGAGATAATAAATTTTTTTTCAATGTCCTTTGTTTTTTCATGTGAAGTTTGAAGAAATTCTTTAACAACTAAGGGCATATCTTCTGGAAGTTTTTGTGCGTGTTGTGTCCAAATGTATTCTACCGATTTATTCTGTTGCATGAAATATTTAACCCAACCAGAGGAGAACTTTGCATCTTGAATATCTAAAGTCTTCCCTAATTCTCTCACCTTTCTTCTAATCATAGAAGCAGTAACCACCATCCTTTTTGCCCATTTTATTTAAACATAATTTAATAATTCTTTTTTAACTGTGGGGTACATGGCTTTTTGACCATGGCCAGAAAGAGTTTGCACCTTATCAACATATAAATTTTGATCATTTTTGATTGCCTCAAATTCTTTTTTTTTGCTTTCTCCATTCTTGAACACATTTTTGATCAACTTGATAGAACAAGGATGCCTTATGGTTAGAAGTTTCTTCAGCATATGATATGGGCTGAGTGCTAGAAAAAGGACCGAAAATGACAAAATAAAAGATCTTCAGAAAATCAATTTTTGTGTTGTAAATCTTATAATTGATTATAAGAAAACACAAACTTTAAAGAACTATACTGCAAAATTTTATTAACACAACTACCTTTGTGTCTTAAGTAAAAAAAGATCCTAGCCTTATTCTAAATTAATTTATGTGAAAAAATCTATTTTGAAAAAATTGTCATTTTCGGTCCTTTTTCCAGCACCTAGCCCATATTAATTAACTTGGACTAATTACTACACAATTTCATTGGAATGTTTCATGTAAATAGAGGTTTGTGTTTCAATATCTTATGCTTTATAGATTCATAATATTTATTAATAAGAGTATTCGTAACAGACATATGACCCAACTATAGAAGATTCATATCGAAAACAAGTGGTCATTGATGACCATCCTTGTGTTCTAGAAGTATTAGATACTGCTGGACAAGGTTTGCAAATCTTTTAAATCCTATATATAATACATTTCACCTATATTTGTTAGGATTACAGTATATTTTGACGAATATCTTATCAGTTATAATAAAGAATGTTTATCATGCTGGGAGATGCTTCTTAGGTCCGATAGACAAAAATTAACTTATAAAATTATTAAGTCTAGTAATGCTAAATGCTATGCCATATTGTTAAGATGCTTTTAAACAAATATTCACTCTCTGTTTCATTAAATTTAATAGAAGAATATGCGGCTCTACGCAATCAATGGATTAGGTAATAAGTGCCGTGAAAGTTTTCCAAAAAAAATATAATACTATTAAAAATCGAATAAAATTTTCCCGGTTTGATAAATTTGTTTCCTTTCAGAGATGGTGAAGGCTTCCTACTCGTATATTCTATTTCTTCTAGATCAACGTTTGAACGAGTAGAACGATTTCATGATCAAATTATACGTGTTAAAGACATTGACTTTATTCCACTTATGCTTGTTGGTAATAAGTGTGACAAAATAACTGAACGTGAAGTTTCAAGAGAAGAGGGAATGAATATGGCAAGAAGACTGAGATGTGATTTTATAGAAAGCTCTGCAAAAACATGTGTAAACGTGGAAAGGTCGTTTTACGGAGTGGTTAAAATGATAAGAGAGGAAAGAGAAAACAAAATAATTGGTAGAAACAGCAGAAAGAAAAAGAAAACAAAATGTTCAATTTTATGATTTGAAGCTTTGAAATCAAATAATATTGTTTTCCTCCAACAAATAGTGTAAAGTGATATTTTTATTCCTTCATGTAATGATTTTTTTATTTAATATAAAGCCAGAATAGAAATTGTATTATCTGATTATAGATTTTATGCTATATTAAATTATATATCCAAAATGATTTGTATTTAAAAATTTGGATCCATAGGCAAATTTTCTAATAAATTATAATTTGGGATTATTAATTAATCTCTGCCTGTTTCATATTGTAAAAAGTGCAGATTTTAATTGATATACGTTGTGAGCGTGGAAACTGATCCGGAATCGGGAAAGATGTGTGATACGGATATCTATCTACACTAAAACTAATCCAAACAACACTCTAAACTGCTAAACTCTATCTAAACCTTAATATGGCAGGCTACAAAAGAGACGTGGAAGACTTGGTCCGAGTTATTAAGGTCAAATAAAGTTCTGGATTATGCCACGAGGCTTTACTCCGAAATCACAGGTTTAGACTACTAATTCTATGTGAATTTGACTTATTGGGGGAATTGGACGAAACTTTAAATCAGAATAAAAGACTCAGATTAAGTCGAACTCTAGTGAGTTTTTTTTTTTATTAAAGCGAAAAGGTAGACCTTATATACTTTAGACTTTTGGCTGCGTACATATACCTGTGTTTTTCTATTTCTAATTACCTTATTATGTTTTTTTGAACGACTTGTATGTTTCGTACGATTCGTATGTTTCGTACGATTCGAACGACTTGTACGTTTCGTACGTTTTGTATGTTTTGTATGTTTTGTACGTTATTGATCGTCAGTCTATGGTAAGAATATCTCTTTTCGTTATTTTTGACTAATACATATATAATAATAATAATAACAGTTATAAAAAAAAAAAAAAATTAAGCGATATAGCACCCGGGGTGCCGCTCACAACGTACAAAGCAATAAACTAAAGATTGTACCTGGATTATCCACGAATAAGCTGGGATCCTGATTTATAGTACATATCACCCTCTAATAATAGAAAAATTATCAATATATTTAGATGTTAATTTAATAAACATCTATATCTATATTAACATTATATTAATATTGTTTATACAAGGATAAATTTTATTACTTTTCTAGGCTTATACTAAAAATAATAAACTTGACAAAATGAATTTATTTTAGTACAAAATAAATTTGCTTTATGTTTAGCATAGAGTGAATTCATTTTATATTGTATAAAATAAATTCAATTTATACTTAATATAAATTTTGGTATGTAATTTTAATAAAAAATGATTTTACTAAATCACACTACTATCAAAAGACTGTAAGTCTTAGGCTGGAAACTTAAATCTAAGTAGACAAATCCACTAGTATTTCTATGAATCTGAACTGAACTAAATTTTGGTCAAGTTTAGTTATGTTCAATATTGAACTTTTAAATCAAGTTTATGTTCAGTTCAGGTTCAATATTGAACTTTTAAGTCAATTTTATATTTAGTTTAGGTTAAATATTGAACTTTAGGTTAAGTTCAGGTTCAGTTCAGGTTCAGTGACAAAACATAGTAAATATTTTTTTATTGTCTTGAAATTTTTGAGTTTGGAGTTTTTTAAATAAATATTTTTTATTTACTAAGTAAACCTTTTTTCAACTTCTAAGTTGTGGAGGAGTGTCTTATGATTAAAATGGCAGTTAAAACATTAAAATCAGCCCAGTAGATCGTGAGATATAAGTATTTTAGTTTTCATGGCCATATATTTTCTTTATACAAATAAAGAAAACAAATAGCCATGAAGATCAAAATATTTATATCTCACGATCCACTAGACTAATTTTAACAGCTTAATCGCCATTTTGATCACAAGACATTCTTCTACAACTTAAATTAAAAGTTAAAAGAGATTTACTTAGTGAAAATTTAAAAATAATAATATTTTTTATAATACATATTATTAATAAAATTATTAAAAATATTAAAATTCTCAAAATTTTACAAATTAATTATATCAATATGCTCTAAGTAAACTTGCTCTACGCATAAAAATACATCATATCAGCATACATTTACTTTATTATTTTAAATTTAAAAAAAAAAAGATGTTTAATTTTGAATTTTTAATCAAAAATTTCAAAATTAGACATCTTTTTTTAAATTTAAAATTATAAAGCAAACATATGTTAATATACTATATTTTTATGTGTAGAACAAGTCTACTTAGAGCATAAAATATAATTAATTAGTAAAATGTTGAGAATCATACTATTTTCTATAATTTTATTAATAAAATTATGAAAAATATTAAGATTCTCAAAATTTTACTAATTATTTATATCTTTATAGAGCAATATTAGGCCATACAAATTTAATTACTTGGTTTTTATAACATCAAATTTAAAAATAGACCTGGCTAGCTGGCTTTTTTTTTTAAATTTAATATATAAAATTTTATAAAATTAACCCCCTCTCAAATTTCTCTTTCAGCATGCAGTAGATTACTTCTAATCAAGTTTATGATTTGTAGTAGGCATTTTATTTATTGATTGCGAGATAAATTTAAGGAAACCAAGGTAGTATTATTGCGAAGCGCCTCTGCTAACTCTCCTCCCACATCA